TATTCACACATTTTGCTGGGAAAGCCAAGGGTGATAACTGGGTGCTGCCCCAGCTTGCCCTGGAGTTCTACCTGGGCTGTTGATGTGCTGGGTGTTAGCATCCTGAAACCCACCAAGATCTCCTCCTGAGACCCGGCTGTCCCCAGAGCTTTAGCCTCCGGCCGGTGGGGCTCAAATAGCTGGAATGTTCGGGGTGGTTGTGAGCCCTGGATGAGAAGTCACTGGAAGCACTCAGCTCACGCCTCAGTAACCCAAGTCCTGCACTTTGGACCTCCTTGCATCTGGCAGCATCTTCCACCCACGCCTGTGGGGATGGAGCCGGAGTAGCTAGAAGGGGGAGAATCCCTCATTCCTCCAAACCCGTGATTCTCCTCTCGCTTCTCAAATCCAGGTTGGCTCTCACTGTAGAGCTAAATGTGGACATGCACAGAGCAGTTTGAACCTTGACCCTTTCCTCCCAGGCTGTGAGACCCTTTGTGTAGCTCTGTTCTGGAAAGGAAAGAGGTAGGAAAAAAAAAAAAACAACCCTATCGAATGACTGCAGAGAATTCGAAGCTTTCCTTTGCAGGGAAAGAATGGGACCGCGTTCTTGCTGTGTCCTGCCCCTCTGGAATGACAATTTCAAAACCTGGTTTTTCCACTGTGCTTCTTTGAAGAGGGGTTGTGTTCTAAATTAGTTTGCTAGTGGGAAACAGAGACACTAGGCAGGAGAGTGACTTCAAATTTTACATATATGCGTTTATCGAGGTCTTCCTATGTGCAAAGGCAGCCTGCTGGACCCCCACAGCGAAAAAGAAAAAAAAAAAAAAACACATGAAACATGTTCTCTGTCCTCCAGGAACTTGGTGTCTGGGGGTGGATTTACAGTTTAGAAGGTGGAAGGTCTCAGGCAGCAAGCCTAAGGGGCACATCTGCTTGCGGGTGGGAACAGGGGTCCTTGCAGGCTGGCGGAGGCCACTCCGGGGAAGGTAGGGCGTTGCAGACTGGAAACGCTGGACGCAGATGGGGGGCCACGTCCAGGGGACCCCGGGGTCCGAAACCCGGACACCTTCAGGGGTCAACAGGTCAGTTAGAGACGGGGGCTGGGCGCGGAAGACTGGCAGACTGGGGCAGCTCCCTAACTGGCCAAGTACTGGTCTGCCCCAGTGCAGGCTGGTGGTTTCCTGATCTGTCCCCTCTTCTCGGGAGGAGCCAGGAATCGGAATGTCCACATGAACTGTGAAGGACTACCTGTCGGGGCGCCGGGGTGGCGCGGGGCGTTAGGCGTCCGACTCGTGGTTTGGGCTCAGGTCGTGATCTTGGGGTGGTGAGATCGAGCCCCACGTGGGGCTCCGTGCTCAGTGCAGAGTCGGCCAGAGATTCTCTCTCTCCCTCTGCCCCCCCTCCCCACGCGCTCTCTCTAAAATAAATAAATACATCTTTAAAAAATACAAGTGTACCATATTAAAAGATACACATGTTTAAACATGATGTTATCCATACCAAACATGTTTGCAGACATCTTAGTCCATTCAGGCTGCTCTAACAAAATCCCACAGACCGTGACTTATAAACAACAGTTATTTCTCGTGGTTCCAGAGGCTGGAAAGATCAAGGCACGAGCAGATTCGGTGTCTGGTGAGAGTCTGCTTCTGGGTTGTGGAATTCTCAGTGTGTCCTCATGTGGTGGAAGGGGTGGGGCAGGGGAGCTCTCTGGGGCCTCCTTTATAAGGGCATTAATCCCATTCACAAGCGCTCTAATCTCATGACCCGATCACCTCCCATAGGCCCTACCTCCTAACCTTGGGGGTTAGGTTCAACGAAGGAATCTGGGGAGGGACGGGACTCAGGTAAGGCAAGCAAGACACCCAGGGCACGGAATGTGAGGACACCCCGAGAGCGAGGTCCCCTTATAGTTCGTACTCCACATGCCTCTCTTGCCTCCCCCAAGTCCTGGCCCCCTGCTCCATGGGATCCCATTTGTCATTTCGGGTCCAAAGAGAATAGCAGTGAAAACAGATTGTCAAGGCAGGGCCAGGGGTGTGGTCTTTGAACTTCACTCGGCGGGCACTGGGGAGCCACTGAAGGTTTAAGAGCAAGAAGGGAGATGGCTAGAATGTGCTGTAGAGGGAAGGCAGTGAAGAGGGTGGGCTGGCACAGGGGCAGGGCAGCAAGGCTTTCCTAACAGGCCAGGCCACGAGTAGGGAGGCAGCAACAGGAACCCAAAGGGGTTATCTTGTCGGAGGCAGTATGGTGTGAGAAGCAGGTTAGGAGCTGGGTTCTGGAATCAGATTGTCCGAGTTTAAATCCTGGATCTTGCTTATACTAGTTATGATGCTGGGCAAGCGGTTTAACCTCTCTGTCACAGTTTCTTCATCTGTAAAATGGGCTCACAGCAAGGCCCACCTACCTCTCAGGGTGTGGTGGAGATTCAGTGGGGCCAGCTCTGTGAACAGTGCCTCAGGACACAGTGGCTGCGAGGACTGTTGTAGACACGGAGGGACCCTAGGGTCACCAGCGCCCACATAGTTAAGCAAGCACTGGAATAGGACAGATTAGAATCACTTGGGGGGATCTTTTAAATGTCCCCAAACCAAAGCCACACCCCAGACCAATTAAATCACAATCTCTGGGGTGGGGACTGGGCATCAGTATTTTCTGGAACCTTCCCAGGAGTTTCCAATGTGCAGCCAAGCTTGGGAACCATTGCTAATCTAGAACCTTGTATGCCTGCGGCCTGAACTGGGAGAATTGACCTTGAAAAGACACAAACAGGCAACCATTTTGCAGCTGGAGGTGAAGCCAGATTGGGGGGGGGGGGGGTGGCAGGGTGTGTGACCCTGGGGCCCAGCTAAGGGACTCCTACTATGGCTCCAGGGGGCCTCGCCGGCCTGGCGGCCACTGGTACCCCCACCCCCCAGGCTGGGAGAGAGCCCGCTGCCTGCACCCGCGGAGGACTCCCAAGCAGGAGACCAGAGGCGCAGCTCTGAGCCGGGCTTGGGCGCCAGAGGGAGCTCGTGGGGACACGCCACGGCTCCATCCCTACAGCTGGTTCAAACTGGTTTGGGCAGGGTGCGGCCCTGGCAGGCTGCATGCCAGGCCTCAGGCTTGCTGCGTGCCCCTGGGTCTCCCCAAGAGCTGGGGACCGGGGGCAGGGTGCTGGGGCACAGCCAAGCACCACTGAGAGGCCCGGAGATTTTTACAGTCAGTCCCCTTTGTTGAAAACCATTGATGTGGCCTCCCATGGGGGTCCCCGGGTAATGCCCGCAGCAAGAGAGAGCCCCTAAATAGGGGTCATTCCCAGACTTTGGCGAGCATCAGAATCAACTGCAAAGCTGTTAAGAGGCAAATGCCTATAGCTCCCCAGAGGTTCTGATTCAGAAAGTTGGGGGAGGGCTCCGGGCATCTGTATTTTTAGCAAAATGTTTCTAAGGCATAATCACACATTTAGGGGGAAGAAAAAAAATCCTGACAGCAAAATGACTGTTGGCTAGCCAACTCAGCCCAGGGTAGAAATCACTGAGAGGCTGGTGAAGAGCACAGATCCTTCCCCAGATATCCCATCTCCGGGGCAAGGGGGTCTGAGCAATCTACACTTTTAGATAATATCCCAGGCCTTTTATTTGCCTTGCTTTTAATGAGTCATTTTGGGCATTCAATAGGTTTAACTCTGACAGCAAACATCAGCAGAAGAAAGAAAACGTTACAAATATAATCGAAACCCCGTTCATAAGCCTTCTCCATCCCCTCCCCCCACCACTTCCCTGCATGTGGCCTGCACGGTTCCCAGGCGCCGCATTATACGTGTTCTCCATATGGTTGTATCCATACACAATCTACCGTGCGGTTTTGCATGTTTTTAAAAACTTTATGTTAATGGCAGCGTGCCCTACGGAGCCTTCTGCAACTTGTCTTTTTTTTTTTTTTTTTTTTTTCTTTCTTTCTTCTTAGCATTATGTTTGTGAGTCTCATCCACCAGGGGAAGTTTGCTGAAGTCATCTGAAGTCAGTTCTGGGCTTTTCTGAGAGAGGGTCCCAGCCCACCTGCAGGGGTGAGGGTCTGGGCTTGGTTCCTGGGTGTCTGTGTGATGAGAGGCAGGGCTCTGAGCATCAGGAAAACCATGACGGTAATGAACGGCCAAATTCAGGTTCCGTGAGTTCCTATCAAGTCCTTTAACGAACCACCTGTGGCCCAAATCTTTGCCAAGATTTTTCCAGAAAGCGACCCTGACCTGAGGGCCCGCATGTTTGGGCAGAGATATGGAGAAATGGGCGGGAAGCAGATGTGGAAGTGGGAATTGTACAAATCGTACGGTGACAGCTCACCCACAAGACGGATCGAGCATGTGCTTACGTCCCCTACCTAGGGTTGTCAGGTAAACTCTGCATTTAGATTTAACCGGGGGCGGGGCGGGGAGGGGGGCGAGGAACGAGGGGCGTGGCGTATATTTATTTACAACCCTAAGCCCAGCCTGATTTTGCTCCACGAATGCAACATAAAAAAAAAAAAAAAAAAAAAGGACGTCATAGGAAAAATTAGAACTCTGGACTTCCCTATACCTCTTCACCGTTTTTAGGATTTTCCTCATTCGGATTTCCTCATTGGGTCTACACAAACCTGCCAGGGGTGTGTGTGTATGCGGGGGAGGTGGGTCAAACTTAGAGCATTTACGAATTCCCTGGGCGGGTTATTTTAAAAGCTGCTCCTGGGAGGAAAAGGACCACTACACCCGGTTTCCCTAATTCCCAGGACTCTCCGCCTGGCGCAAACAAGATGCTGGAATTAGGGCGGCCTTGGGGGCGGGCGCTTTGGTCTTTAAATGAAAGGATCCCCTGGACGGCCGTTCTCTATCCTGGAGGCTGGAATCACCCGCGGAGCTTTAAAACCTACTGATGCCCAAGCCCCACCCCCGGGATTCCGGCTGAATCGGCCGGGGTGAGGCCTGGCTTCCGGGCTTTGGAAAGCTCCCCGGGGCTTTCTAAAGTGCTGTGGGGGCTGGGAACCGTGGCTCCGCCCGGATTCCAACAAAAAGGGGTGGTCTATACTGGCGGTTCTCAAACTCGGCTGTATGGTGGCATCACCAGGCGAACTTCAGAAAATACTGGTGCCCAGGTCCCAACCCTAGAGACTGTGTGTGAGCGGGACTTTGGAGGGTTTAAGGGTCCCAGGTGATTGCAATCTGCAGGCGGGTTCGAGAAGCTTTGCTTTACCAGGTGCTGCGAGGGCCGGGCGCAGTGAGCGCCGCGTGCCACTGGGTGGCGCTGCCCACTCGGCCCGGCGTTCGGGGAGGCGCGCGGGGCCGCGGCCGGGTGCGCACCTGCCCCGCCTCCTCCAGGCGGGCCACGGGGCATGCAGCCCGTCGGGGGCGGGGCTCCGAGGCCGGGATGCGGCCCCGGGTTCCCCGGCAGCCTCCGCCAGCTGGACCCCGTCGCGCTCCTGATGCTGCTCGTGGACGCCGACCGGCCGGAGCCCGTGCGCAGCGGGGCGCGCGAGCTCGCGCTCTTCCTGACCCCCGAGCCCGGGGCCGAGGTAGGGGACGGGGGATGGCAGTAGGGGAAGCCGGGTCTCGGGGTTGGGGGGTCTGGGCCCTCGCACCCCGGGGCAGGAAAGGGTGGGTGCGGCCTCCGGAGCGCCGGGACCCGAATCCTTGGCGTCCGCGCCGCATCCTCTCGCACCCGGCGCACGGGCCCGAGGGCCGCCTCCTTTGCCGAGAGGTGATGCCTGGCGCCCCCCGAGATCCGCGGCAGGTCGCGCCGCTCCCTCCTCCCGCCGACGAGGCCCCCGGGGACCCAGACTCGCGTCGCATCCCGACCAGGGCCCCCAGCATCGGCGGGGACGGGGGAGCGAGGCGCGCTCGGAGCTGCTGCCCTTTGCCAGGCGAGGCCCTGGGGAGGCCGGCCCCGGGTCCTGCCCCCGGCCGGGCGCTCAGCCCTCTCGGCTCCGAGCCGGGTGCAGAGGCCCGGGAGGCGGCGGGCAGGCTGCGTCTGTGCGGGGAAGCCCCGGGCCTTGGTCCTGCTGTTGCTAAGAGGGAAAATACCTCGTCTCTGTCGGTACTTTCTATTTTAAAAGCACAGAATAAAAAGTGGATCTGAAACTAGGCCCTTCATCTTCCAGCTGAAGCCAGTCTGTTACCAGTGCCGTGAAAAAAGTTATTTATCCAAGTCCGCCAGGAGTCATTTAAGGCTTGAATTCAACTCATTCTCTTTTTAAATCTCAAAAGCAGGACGGAAGTACAGCCAATAAAGGGTGAGCACCCTCTCCTTTTTCTCTGCGTCCCCAACTCCAGTCCCCAGAGATAACCATCACCAACAATGTGGTGTACCTCATCCCAGACACTTAAAAAATGCATTTACTGGGCGCCTGGGTGGCTCAGTTGGTTAAGCGACTGCCTTCGGCTCAGGTCATGATCCTGGAGTCCCGGGATCGAGTCCCGCATCGGGCTCCCTGCTCAGCAGGGAGTCTGCTTCTCCCTCTGACTCTCCCCCCTCTCATATAAATAAAATCTTAAAAAAAAAAAAATTTAAAAAAATGCATTTACAAACGTGGGTATGCATATATATTAATAATACTGTGTGTTATTTTTTGTAAAACCCCACCTGATACTGTAATACTGTTCTGCAATTTGCTTTTTTCCACTCAAAATAGCATGGACAGATGGGGAGTGATTGCTAATGATGAGGTACAGAGCTTTTCAGGGTGATGAAAATGTTCTGGAATTAGTGGTGATGGTTGCACAACTTTGTGAATATACTGCAAAGCACAGAACGGTACACTTCTAAAGGGTGAATTTTATGATACGTGAATTACATCTCAACTTTACAAAATAGCGTGGACATATTTTCATGTCAGAATGTATCCATGAGAGCTGTCCAATAGAAATATAATCTGAGCCACAAATATGAGCCATTCGTGTAATTTGAAATGTTCTGGGAGCCACATAAAAAAGGAAAAAGAAACGGGTGAAATTAGTCTCAATATACTTAAAGTAACAGTGCCTCCAAAATGTCAATCGTTTTAACATGTAATCAATGTAAAAAAAATTTTAACGAGATTTTTACTTTTTTTTTGGTACTAGGTTTTCAAAATCAGGCTTTTTATGTTTTTATTTTTGAAAGTGAGAGAGAGAGAGAGAGAGAGAGAGAGAGAGAGAGATGGGGAGGGGGAAGGGCAGAGGGCGACGGAGAGAGCATCTTAAGTAGATTCCACTCCCAGCCCAGAGCCCGTCCTGGGGCTTGATCTCATGATCCCAAGATCATGACCTGAGCTGAAATCAAGAGTTGGACACTTAACCGACTGAGCCACCCAGGCAGCCCCACATCAAGCTTTTATATTGAACCAGCCACATTCTAAGTGTTCGATAGTCCTGTGAGGCTGGTGGCTTCCGTGTGGGAGAGCGCAGGTCTCTATCGTTCTTTGTCTTCCTAGTATCCCCCAAAGAAGTAACAATTACTCCTGTTTCCTGGGCACATACTATGTCCCAAACCCTGTTGCCACCGACCCAGTGGCCAGGAGGTTTTTAGGTCGATTTTACAGCTGAGGAAACGGAGGCCCTCACAGGATCAGTGCCATCCGCTGGAGGGACTGTAACTTATGACCTCTGCCCCCAGGGACGGGCGTTCGGGTTGTCTACAGTTTTTCACTGGTTCAAGGAATGTGAGTGTCTTTCTCGTTCCTTCTCTCCCTTGCTCTCAGCAGAGAGATGTCATTGTGCCCAGCGGCTGAACCTCAGCTTCATTTTGTCTCTATTAGGAACAGCCTTCAAGAGAAACTGCGGGTATTAACTTCATTTTCTCACTCAGGGCTCTCTTTAACTCAGACACGGGCTGGCTCACACTCATTTGTGAGGGATGTAATGAAGAGCCCAGCTCCCTGTAGCTCGGTGCAGCAATAAACCCACTTAGAGCACTATCTGAAGTTTATTTACCAGAAGAAGCAGAAACTGCTGGAGCAGAGTCACTTGCAACCTCTACTTAAAGATTAATTCATTAGTGGGTCCCCACACTGAGGTTGTTTGCAGCTGGGTCAATGAGCTGGAAAAGGGAGATCTGGTTTGGGAACAGGCCTGGGCAGCTGGGCCCTTCTCCCGGGGCCACTTCTGGCTTTTAAATGGATCCCAGACCAGCCGACTCCAGTCCTAGGGGTGTCCTGGGGGTTCCCAGTGAATGGGCCTGCTGCATGCAACACCTTGAACCTCTACTACGTACGTGCCAGGAGCTGGGGACAGCAGTGAAACATGCAGGGGCCCTGCTCTCAGGACACCATTGGACCACAGACACATCACACGCAAAAGCTCTAGGTGGTGATGCGGTGGTGTGGTAGAGGGTATCAGTGTGAGTCAGCAAGACAGGGGGCGGGCAAGGTCTCTCCAGGGGAGCAGAGACCTGAGTGGTACCCACTGAAGAATGTGCAAGAAAGAGGAAGCCCAGGGACCTGACTTTTTTTGGGGTGCAGTCAGGGAGGGCTTCCTTGAGGCGGCAGCATTTTAGGTTGAGCCCTAAAGTGTGAATGAGACCTGGCCAGGCTAGGAGGAGAAAAATCACCCAGGCAGAGGGAACAAAACCTGCAAAGGCCCTGGGGTGGGACGAAGCAGGGTGCCCTTCAGGATAGAAGAACAGCAGGTGGGAGGGGGAGCCATGGGAGGTGTGGCTAGCGAGGAGGGCAGAAGCCGTGCCCAGGACTGCAGTCTGTCTCCCAGGATCCAGGCGCTGCTGCAGGGTTGCACGCGACATCGGCGGGCAGGTGAGTGTTCTACTGTTTCCGGTGCCTTTAGGGTATTCTGTTCAACCAGTTTTTTGTGTGTTTTACTTTCTCTCTTTTTCTGGTTTGAACTTCCTCTTTCAGGAGGAGTTTCAGGGCAGTCTCCAGATGGCAGAGAGAGAGAGAGACATTTGCCTCTTGGGTGCGCTCTGATTTATGGGGGCAGGTCGCTCAGGGCGCTCCCAAATGGCTGAGCGCTGATACCCACCCACGGGTGAATTCCTGGCCAGGCTCTTTCAAAATCCTATTTGGTTCCTCTGCTGGGACACAGGACAGGCTTGTGAGGTTCATGGCCTGGATGGAAGGAAGTCAAGTCAGCACTTTCTCAGGCCCAGGGTCTCTGCTTGAGTGAGCAGAGGATGATGGCAGAGAAAACACCTGGGTCTATTTTTTTTTTTAAGATTTTATTTATTTATTTGAGAGAGAGAGAGAGTTAGCGAGAGCAGGAACACAAGCAGGGGAGTGGGAGAGGGAGAACCAGGCTGCCCGCCGAGCAGGGAGTCCGACACGGGGCTTGATCCCAGGACCCTGGGATCATGACCCGAGCCGAAGGTAGACGCCCAACGACTGAGCCACCCAGGTGCCCCAACACCTGGGTCTTTTAACTGCATGTGGACTAGATCAGCAGTTGCAAACTGGTGGCCCCCAGTGCTGAATCTGGCACTCTGATGTGATTGGATCTGTCAACGTAGGGTTTCTTAAATGGAGGATTCTCATGAAAAACTCTGAGTTTCTGGTTTATTTAAAATATTAGGCAGTCTGTTGTTTTGTTTTGTTTTTAAGTAAGCTCTATGCCCAATGTGGGGCTTGAACCCACCACCCCGAGTTAAGAGTCACCTGCTCCACCAACCGAGCCAGCCAGGTGCCCCTCAGTCAGCAGAGCAGGTGACTCTTGATCTCAAGGTCATGAGCTCAAGCCCCACGTTGGGCGTAGAGTCTACTTAAAAAAATGAAATAAAACATTAGCCGGTCTGGTAGGTCTGGGTCCCTGTTTGCCACAGTCCGCACTCCTCCCTGTTGTCTTCCCCGTACCGAAGATAGCATCAGTTACCATTTACTTTTGTGCTTGAACTTTTGATTTTTCTGTCGTCTTGTAGGGGAAAAAATGGAACGACTTCCCCAAACCATGTGTTTGGACTAAAGTAGGAAAATAAACTAGCCAAAGATGCCCTGGAGTTTCATGAAAAAAGACATCAAAGAGGCTGTTTCTTTGTGAAAGCAAAGGATACTCTATTATGTCCATCCTGCAAACACCATATGCTTATGCCCACCCCCCCCCAGCATGTGTCCTGCCCTTGTGACCTGCTGGTCCACTTTCCGAGTTCAAGTGGGGGATGTTCAGATGCCCTGTCTCCAGATGGAGTTCTGTGTTCATTTATTCCTCAGATCTTCATGGTGAGCCCGCTGTGTGCCAGGCACTGTGCTGGGTGGGGTACGAGGGAGAGGCCTGCAAGGCCGAGGGGTGCCTGCCCTCAAGGACTGGTGCTGCAGTGAGGGAGGTGAGCAGACAGTCATGATCAAACAGAGTCATTAAATGGTGCTCAGTGCCATGGAGGAGACAGTGGAGGGACGATCACAGACGCCCAGGGAGGCTTGGAGGGAACCACCAGGCAAACCTCCAGCAGCGCGTGCATGGCCGAGGGGCAAACGTGAGGACCGGGGAGTGGGTGGACCTCGGCGGCCAAGGGCGAGAGTGGGCAGGGCGAGACCAGGGCCTAGGGCCAGGGGGAGGGCTCTGGATTCGATCCTAGGGTCCTGGCCGTGAGCAGGGG